TCAGCAACTTCTCTTGCAAGAAACTCTCTGATCTTCTGGGTCATGCCTCTGTCCCCCCTGCAGTGAACCAGGTACTTCATATTGGCATACACATGATGACAAATGACTATGAATGACAAACTATGATCATGGGGTTCTGATGAAACTGATGAAAATGCAAAAATTTCAGGTAGAAATGAATCCTACATGGCAACAGAACAAACTGAGGGACCTGTGCAGAGAGAAAGGGATCCATGTGGCTGCATGGTCACCTTTGGGAGCAAATGGAACTCCATGGGGTTCACATAGGGTCTTGACCAACCCAATTCTGAAAGATATTGCCATGGCCAAGGGGAAGAGCCCTGCACAGGTATTGAAATATAAATACAGTTCCCCAACTGGTTCATTTCCACCATATGTTCAAATTGACAAACACTCTATTTACATGTTATTATGTAAACAGGTTTCACTGAGGTGGATTTATCAGCAGGGAGTGAGTCCCATTGTGAAGAGCTTCAACAAGGACAGAATGAATGAGAACCTTCAAATCTTTGACTGGGAGTTGAACGAGGAAGAATTGACAAAGATTAACCAGAAAATTCCTCAAGAGAAAGGATTAAGAGGAGAAGCATTTGTTTCTCCAAACGGCCAATACAAGTCACTAGAGGAACTTTGGGATGGAGAAGTGTAACATATGATCTTCCCTGCAAGTATGAACAAGAAGAAAACTTGTGAAATAAATAGTTATTATAATAAGAAATAAATTCTTAGTTCTCTTGTCAATTTTCTCTTTCTGCATTTGTTTTGTTAGAACATAAGAGAGAAACAGAAAGTAAAGTTCAGGTAAAGTTTTGCACAAATTTTGTGAAATTCCTTAACTTTTTCTCAACTTTCTGTTTCTCTCTTATTTTTTATCAAACCAAATACAGCAATATTTCTCTAACACATATCAAACTTGTTGTAGCATTTCAATTGACAAAGCCTGACTTGTTTTAATAGAACCCAGGACTTTTTCCCTCACAACTCTGAAATTTAACAGGGAAAACAGTTGACTTATTTTTTTCCTTTTAAATGAAGAAAATGGATTTAATGGATTGAAATGCAAGTTTTGTATTTAGATTTTAGATGCAAAGGGAGAGAACAAAGAGCATTAGGTTATTGCCTTGTGGCTTGTGAGGAATAAAACAAAAACTGAACTTTGGAACCCTCAGTTTGATTTTTTCAATACAACTCTTCAATCTTGAGTCAGCTTTGCCCCATGGAAACTGGAAAGCATAAAGTTGTTTCAATTTTCCGACAGAACAATGCATGACGTTTGCTTCTTTTTATTTTGATGTTCAGATTAATTAATGGGGGCAAGCTGTTATAAGTCAGATTCATCAATCCCAATTAAAAGCATCAAAGCTCTTGTAGTGCAGCTTCAGAGAGACGGATGCAACAATTATTACTACTTTGAGCAAACTAGAAAAATTAATACAGCAATAAATGTTATAAATAAAGCGGGCTTTTATGGGTCAAACCCAGTAAAATTTAAAACCAAAGCCTCCATCGAATCAGTCCGATTTTAGAACATAAGACAGTTGACAATTGACATTGAATAAGTATGGCAACAAGGCCGGTTCTTTGATGATTTTAATTCCTGTCTTTGATTTCGATTCTAATTTTGAAATAAATTCCTGTCTTTGATTTCGATTCCTGTCAGAGATAAAAATGAAAGAAATTTTTTAAAATATAAAAATATCTTTAATATATTTTGATAAAAATAATATTATATATATATACATTTAATATATATAATCGGAGTCGTGGCAGAATTCACTCCCTATCCCTATCAAGGCAATATCCATCCCTGACCCATCGGGTTAAAGAAGCTGAGTATCGATGGAGACGAGGTAATTGTCATCCCTAACACTGAAACAAAAAAATATAGTATATGTTTGGCATCGATGCTGCAGTTGCAGCACCTTTTCTTTATTTTTGTTTGGAATCGTTGCTGTTAGGTAGGATGTTTCCTGGAGCAACAGCAACTCTTTCTATTTGGTACCAATACTCTAGGAAACGTTTTCAGCACTGGTACCCATTATCCAGTGCCACATCACTGCCCTATTGCAGTTCTAGGAAACGCCAGATTTGACGTTGCTCCAAGCCATGGCTCCCCGATTTCCGAAGTATGACTTGGAGCAAACAAATGCCTATTTCCTAGAACACCATTTTTTCCGATGTGGCGCCGTTGCTCCAGGAAATGGCAACGATGCCAAACAGCCGCATAAAGTTTGGGCTGGGGGAAGTGGGCTTCGTTCGAGAAAAGTAGAATTGGTTCATGCCTATTGATGCTGACTTCTTATCACAATTAACTGGTGATGTGTGATCAGAGGCTGAGTCAGCACCAATTAGGCCAATATAGCCCTCGCTGGAAAAGAAAAGCTGTGGGATTTAAACCAAATTTGAAAAGATTGACAGGCGGGATCACAAATCGTCACCTCCATTTCTGAATTAGACCTTCAGTTTGAGGATTATGTCATTCTGGAAATTGTATTCCCTTTGAGTGTTCACTGGCAACACTTTAAACACCTTTAGTTGGCTGAGGCACCCATCAGATTCGTCGTATATGGGGTAATGGAGGATGTGATACTAAAAGCATTTACCCAATATGTCAATACAGGAATCGATATAATGGACTGCCATTAAAATCTTAAATTTACTTGAAGGTGTTTAAGAGTAAGTTCTACAGTTGCAAAGCCAAAAATGCCCTGAACATAGCTTGCAAAACCATTAGAATTCATGACGCTAGAATCATCTAAAGTCTAAACCCAAACCAAATGCACATAACAATAAGTTTGTCATTAACAAATTAAGGGCTTATTTGGCATCAATTCTGGAAATTCTCAAAATCAGAATCAGGTTGGCACTGCCCTCTTCCCTGAAATCAATTCTCTAGTTGAATAATACATAAAACCACGTCAGTTCTAATAAATAAGTGGGGTTGAAAGTTGAAACTACAGAGTGTTTAGAACTAAGTTTAGGCAACCAGTTAGACAAAGACCTACCATTCCAAAACAAAGGTTACAACTGAGGAACAATAAGTGAACCACCAATATCGGTTGTAGCCATAGAGATCAGCTAATATGGATGGTTAAAACAAAAAGAACCTTTGGTCCAAAAGACTACACATCCCTCTTTTCCGCCTATTAGGTGCATTTTGTGCTTAGAAAAAAATTTCAGAATGAAAGGATTCCCTCAACTCATCAAATAAAATCACTGTGCTTCATTGACCAGAAAAAAAAAAAAAAAAAAAAAATCTACTAACAAAAGCGGAAAAGACCAAGAAATAATGGAGAACCGATGGAGTCCACACCTGGGACAATTAAGAGATTGACGTAGAGAGTTTGAAAGTAAGAGAGAATTGGTTCTACAAAAGCCCAAGTCTAAATGAGAGTAGAACAAACAAAGGGGAAGAAATAGAAAGACCGAATAGAGATTTTGAGAAAACTACGAAGAGCATAATAATTAAGACAGAATTATAAAAACCATAAGAAAGGGATAACTAAAAACAGCAGAACTCAGAGAAGGAGAAGAACTTTTAGTGGGAGAAATTCTTTCTCATAGAAAACATATACAAGAAGGGCCGAAGGCTACAATATATATACAAGTTATGGGGCAGAAAAATAGTAAGTAAAAGGAAAAAGAAAGTCTAACAATAGTAAGTAAAAGAAAAGGAAAGTCTAACAAAATATTATACACCTCCCTAATTCAGAGGATATTATACACTTTCCTAATTGTACACCTTCTTAAATCAGAGGATATTATTCACTTTCCTAATACTCCCCCTCAAGTTGGAGCATGAAGGTCCAAAATGCCCAACTTGCATAGGAAAAATTGAAATTGTCGCTTGCCAAGACCTTTAGTGAACAAATCCGCTAACTGTAAATGTGATGGAAGGTAGCGTGGTAAAATTTCGCCAGAAAGCAGCTTCTCACGTACAAAATGGCAATCTACTTCGATGTGTTTAGTCCTCTCATGGAAAACGGGATTATTTGCAATGTGTAAAGCTGCATTGTTGTCACAGAAAAGACTAGTGGCTCCTGATTGCGGTGTTAATAATTCACTCAATAGTCTCCGCAACCAGACTACATCACTAGTAGCCATGGCCATAGCTCTATATTCTGCTTCTGCCGAGGATCTAGACACTGTGGGTTGTTTCTTGCTCCTCCAAAGAATAGGAGAAAAACCAAGTTGGAAGTACAAACCCGTTACTAATTTTCTGGTTAAAGGGCAACTTGCCCAATCTGCATCGCAGTATCCTCGCAATACCATATCATTCTCACTATTTAGCAATATACCTTGCCYTGGGCATCCCTTGAGATATCTCAGAACGCGCATCAGGCCGTTCCAATGTTCAACTCGGGGTTGCTGGACGAACTGGCTAAGCACATGCACAGCATAAGTAATGTCGGGCCTCGTGATTGTCAGGTACAATAGTCGTCCCACCAATCTTCGGTACTGATTTGGATCATAATGAAAATCCCCGTTGTCGTACCCCAAATGATGATTTTGCTCAATTGGGGTGTCTATGGGTTTGCATCCAGTCAGTCCAGTTTCTTTCAAAATGTCCAGAACAAACTTGCGTTGATTCAGAAACAATCCAGTAGTGGACCGAGCTACTTCTATTCCAAGGAAATATTTCAAATTTCCTAAGTCATTTATCTTGAAACAACTGTTGAGATACGCCTTGAACTCTGCACACATTTTTGAACTGTTCCCAGCTAGTATAATGTCATCAACATACACCAAGAGACCAAGAAAGATGTTTCCCTTTCTGTATATGAAGAGAGTGCTTTCCGCAGTGGATTGCCTGAAACCATACTCACGCAAGGATGCTGTCAACTTTGCGAACCAGTTTCTAGAGGCATGTTTTAGGCCGTATAGAGACTTTTGTAGCTTGCATACTGCATTTGGTTTTTCGGAGCTAAAGCCTGGTGGGAGCTTTATGTAAATTTCTTCTTTGAGGTCACCATGCAGAAACGCATTATTTACATTCATTTGATGAAGTTCTCATCCCTTTGCTACTGCCACTGCTAAAAAGACACGAACAGATACATGCTTTGTTACTGGAGTGAAAGTCTCTATATAATCATCTCCCCATCTTTGTGTGAAACCTTGTACAACCAACCTTGCCTTGAAACTTTCAACGCTTCCATCCGATTTGTACTTAATTTTGTAGACCCAATTGCATCCAACCACTTTCTTCCCTGGAGGCAAACTCACAATTTCCCATGTTTTGTTTTCTTCTAGGACCTTAACTTCTTTGTCCATTGCCTCAATCCATCGTTCATCTTTGACTACCTGTGTATAACTGGTTGGCTTGTCATGAGAATTGATGGCCGCTAAGAAAGCTTTATGAGTTGGACTAAATTTATTATAGCAAATGTAGTGTGTTAGAGAATGGGCCTTACCTGCGGCCGCCTTTCGGACTGAGTTCACGTTGGATGGTGGTAGCAACGCATCACACACATAGTCTCTTAAATATCCAGGCCGTTTTCTTTCTCGTTGAGGTCGCTCCTGTCACCGAACAGATTGCTCATTTTCGTTTCTTTGTGGTGTGCTCACTGCAGCTTGGTCAGGCGCACCTGTTCCTTGATGTTCTTCCGAATTTGTTGTCTCATCAGTTGTGTGGACACCTTCCTCATTTGTACCTATATGCTGGTTGTCATTAGCCCCAAGACTCCTCTTATCTCTAAATGGCTCATTTTTATCTTCCACAATCACATGCTCCCCCTCACTTG